GTTAAGAGGCAGCTGCAGCAGTAGCACTCTGCTGGTGACCATTTGTACGCCTGCAAGCTACAGTCTGCAAGGTACAGCAGAGACTTGATCAGATTAGAGGAAGGCAAACAAACTGAAACTATTCTTCAGTGCCCAGCCTCTTCTTCCTGTGATGTCATGCTGCAAATTGCCAGAGCACTCTGCTCTCCTCTCCAGAAGGAGCTGGGCTGGTGAGAGCTGCCAAGGGCTGTGGGCTGCAGGAACAAACACGCTCTGGAATTCAGTTTCTGCCCTGGCAAGCAGCTCCCTTCTGCTTCTGCTTCCAGCCCCATGGGGCCAGCCAGCGAGCTGAAAAACTCGTTGTGCAGAAAGAAGGCTGCGGGAGAAATGCAAGTGCCGACACTGCGCAGTGTCCAGGAAATCGTTTTCTAACGCACACTCCCAGTGAATTCGGATGGACAAGGCTTCATCGCCACAGCCCGCAGCTAAGTAAGGCAAAGTCCTACAATGGCTTCACTGAATCGAGGTGGCAAATGGAACTAAGCAAGCTTTGGGGTGACCTCATCTGCCACAAACGATGCACTTTCTGACTTCTGCAGACTGGCTATGGGGTTACAGATAGCACTCGGAAGAGAAGAATGACCTCCTGGTGATTTCTGCTGGAGATGTACTCTCCTGCCACAGAGTTTGCCTTTCTTCCCTGAAGCTTCACAGTGCAGCAAGCTTGCCAAAGCACACCACTCGAACCCACCTGATCTGGGAGTTCTTCTGGAATTTCAAAAAGGTGCAATAAAAATACCAGAGAAACCACCAAATCACAGGAATTTTAAGCATACTATGATAATGGTAAGCTCCAATTGTTCCACTGAGGACTCCTTTAAATATGTTTTGTATGGGTATGTCTTCAGCACAGTATTTGTTCTTGGACTCATAGCAAACTGTGCAGCAATCTACATTTTTACCTGTACCTTAAAAGTGCGAAATGAGACTACAACTTACATGCTTAATTTAGCAATATCGGATCTGCTTTTCGTGTTCACGTTACCCTTCAGGATTTATTACTTTGTAACCAGAAACTGGCCATTTGGAGACATTCTCTGCAGGATTTCTGTCACTCTCTTTTATACAAATATGTACGGGAGCATTTTATTTCTGACTTGCATAAGCGTAGATCGCTTTTTAGCTATAGTGCACCCCTTCCGATCCAAGACCCTGCGAACCAAAAGGAATGCAAAAATTGTCTGTGTGGCAGTGTGGATAACGGTGTTAGCAGGCAGCACACCCGCAAGCTTCTTCCGGTCTACGAACGGCCGCAATGATACTCAACAGAGGACGTGCTTCGAAAACTTTTCAGAGGACACGTGGAAAACCTACCTGTCCCGGATCGTCATCTTCATTGAAACAGTTGGGTTTTTTATTCCACTCACCCTGAACGTGACCTGCTCTACTATGGTCCTACGGACTTTGAATAGACCACTTACATTAAGCCGGAATAAACTAAGCAAGAAAAAGGTACTCAAAATGATTTTTGTCCATTTGGTGATATTCTGCTTCTGCTTTGTGCCTTATAATGTTACCTTAATACTTTACTCCCTTATGAGAACACAGACGTGGATTAATTGCTCAGTGGTAACTGCAGTCAGGACTATGTACCCCATCACTCTGTGCATTGCTGTTTCAAACTGCTGCTTTGACCCTATAGTCTATTACTTCACATCGGATACAATCCAAAATTCAATAAAAAAGAATCGGTCCACGAGATCACGGGACATCAGATTCTCTGAAAGGTCAGTTCCAGAAAGCTTCATTCAACACAGCCTTCAGACCATAAAGACAAAAATATTTGACAGTGACTCTACAATATAAACTATATTAAGAGACTACTGGGACTAAACTGGAATTAGAAGCTTTCACATTGCTTCAGCTGTGGACACATTCTGATATGTAAATATTACACTTGCTTCATATCTGAAAAGTTTATGACAAGACTGTAAAAGTGTTAAGCATAAAGCACATTGAACAAGTATTTTAAGAATTTATGTCAAAGGTCTGTTCTGACAGACTGTATGTTAGAAATGAACTTCTGTGTTTAGATTAGGTTAAGCAAAGTCCAAAGAGTGTTTGTCAAGTCAAACACAAATGAAAAAGTAGGTTGGGTTTTTTCTCCCCCCTCAAGTTAAAACAATTGTTCATTTCTAATAATTATATCAGTTTCCAAGTTACTGAGGATGGGGGTGAAGCTACCTGCAGGATCCAGCTGCTGAGGTAAACTGTCCCATAGTCAGCATTATCACTTCAGGTACTGTGCCTGCTCCAGAGTTTCCTCTCTCTCACCCCTCCCTCCTGTCCTTCTCCCTGCACCTTCCTTCTGAGGGACCATTACGTTCATAGGAGGTTTCAATCAATGGGTTACAAGAACTTTGTTTCTCCCACATTTATCTGATAAAAACATATGCTCTCTCCACAAGTCTGGCCACCATAAAGCAATTAAATCTTCTGGTAGTTTAGAGCATTTGGAAAAGACAAATTGGTTTTTCTTCTCACCTCTGTCTCAGATGCCTGTGTAACTAAAACAAAATAACCTCTGATGACTGAAGGTACTGCTTTAGGTACAGTACCACTCTATTAAACCCTTGTGCAAAAAGTTCTTCAACTCAGCATAACTTTTGAGGAAAACAACATCCTCTGAATAATTTGACCTCAAAGGAGTTTCTTAGAAAAAAATCACCTTTGCTAACTGGACATGAACATGTGCATCAACTCAAATATTTCTTCCACGAAATTATTTGGTATCCAATAAAGAAATTCAAGCCAGTAATTTTTGGAGTGCAACTTCCTCTCAATTTTTGTGTCCTATAAATAATTTTAACACAAGCATTTAAAATTTGAAATGCTAGTTTCTTTCAAACTTTAAAAAGCATAATAATAAAGTACTTGGGGCTATGTGCTGGCAAAAAATTAATTGAGACACTCTGAAAAGTCAGCACCATGTAAAAGGAAGAGTCTACATATATTAATGTTACAAACAGGAATATATAGATAAAAGTGCTTTAAAACATCTTGCTATATCTGTTTTCCAGCTACTAGAACATTGTGCACATTTTCTTCAAAGTTAATTTAACATCACTGTAAAATAAAATAAATATTTAGAAGGTCAAAATTAAGTGTTGGGTTTTTTTCCTCCCTGAAAACCATGGAGTCAAGAATATGAACTGAGTTGAAATTAATTTACACTTTAGATCTAGAGCAGTCATCTGCAACACAGATACAGCACTGAGCATTTTTACTGCAGGGCTGTATATGGAAGTGTGAATAAATGTTTAAAAAAATGCATACTGAGCCATCAGAGTAAACAACACGCTAGCTGGTTGGTTTTACTTCTCTTTGCAAAGCTTTTATTTAATTGTTATAAATCAGCCACACATTGCCTCCTACTCCTGGGAAACTGAGTTACTCAAAGACTGCTAGAAACTAGTGTCGATTCAATTTTAAATTTAACAGCATTGTCAATCTTTACCCACACGACTTATGAAAGGAAAATTAAAATAGGATGAGGTTAAGCTACAAAGATAGCTTAGCTATAAACATGTGCATAATATGTGAAAATAGGAAATTATTTTTGTTGGGAATCCTAAATTATTCTGATTCATATCTGACTTCAGGAAAACACACGAAACTCCCTGCCTGCATGAACAGAAATTCTGTACATTTTCCATACATCACTGACAAATCCAAAGTTCAAAACCAGATATGTATCCCTAATGCCTCAATGCATCTCTCTCTGGAGCTTGTTTAATATCAGACTCCTTCCAAAGATTGTGAGACAAAAGCCTTTAATGCCACTGTTGGGCTTTATTTCTAGGCTACTACTCCCCTCAAGTTTGTCAAAGCTGTTACTCAGTTGAATGACAACTTGCTTAGCAACACCTCTACATTACAGTAGTGAGCACCCCAGAGCCTCACCCTGGCAAAGAGAAGCTACCCAGGTTACAAATCTGCAGGGGAAAACAAAAAAAAAAAATACAAATCACTGACTTAAAAGCAGAACAAGCAGATAAAGTCACATGTAGACACCAGACTTTCCTTGGTGCATTAACTCAAGTAGTCTGGAGAAGCAGACAGCAGCTCTTTCTGCCTTTCACTCACTCTCCAGGGCAGCAGCTTCTGCTTTTTGCAACAGCACAGTGCAACAGCTTTCTGATCAGTTAACAGCTCAATATCCCAACACTATTTGGGGAAACTTTGTATTTTCAGATAAAGTCACATGTAGACACCAGACTTTCCTTGGTGCATTAACTCAAGTAGTCTGGAGAAGCAGACAGCAGCTCTTTCTGCCTTTCACTCACTCTCCAGGGCAGCAGCTTCTGCTTTTTGCAACAGCACAGTGCAACAGCTTTCTGATCAGTTAACAGCTCAATATCCCAACACTATTTGGGGAAACTTTGTATTTTTTATTATACTTCTTTCCACAGGGGGGAAACAAAAAAGCAAACAGCCCAACAAAAAAGCCCCAAACAACAACACAGTCAAAAATCATCATGTGTAATTTAGATAATCTGACATTTACTTGAAAAATTCCAGATCTGATTCAGAAGAGGGGAAGTGAACCTGCACCACCCACAACAAGCTGATACAAAGCCAAGGTACCAGCTATTCAGGACTGAATGAGGTTTTCTCCACCTTTTCTGGTTCAGCAACAAGATTATCCTGGAGAGCTGTGGATGGAGCCATGTTTTCACTGGTGCATCCCTGAACAGACACACTCCCTCCCTCTACTCCTGCCTTTGATACCAACTCTTCTGTCTCTCTGGCAAAGTTTTATGCCAAAATTAAAATTTAAAATCTAGATGAATTATGCTCCTAAGTCATGCCAAGGCATCTCAAATACAAGAGGCTTATACTGTCAGAGCTCCTGAGGATCTGAATGTGTTGCAACCAGTACTTCCTGAAAGTGCATTGTTTTTACTCATATAGCTGCACAGGGGGCACCAGGAGTTCCATTTTAGGATCAAAGCCTACAAATCTGTTCTTTGCAGTCTCATTTCTTCATCTGCAGAATGCATAAAATGCATACTTAGTATAAAAATAAAAGCAGGGGAAAACTGAAAGGGGCAAGGAGCACTAGACTGCCATTCAGTCTTTCCATATCACTCCTGATTATATAGTCTTCCGTCATCTCTTGCAAATGGGAAAGTGATTTTCATTTGTAATTTCACCTAACATCAAAGACAAGACTTTTCAGAATTATACAAAGAACTCCACTGGAATTAGAGAGAACCCAGTAAGGTTCGCTTTGAGACAGATAATTTTGAAAATCCCAGCTGACCACAATATCCTCTAGCCTTACTTATTCTTTCAAGTTATTTTCTATGAGTTTTACAAATGAAGAACAATTTGTTCATACTTTGCCAGCAGTAAATGTAATATTATAAGGTTCTTGCACCTGGGCAGACCTGTAAATCCAGACAAGTTCCCGTTTTTGTTAAACTATTATCTCCTACACCTCAGGGTTTCTGGCATTTAAACCCCACTGACAAAATGAAAGAGGATACATTTCAAAAGCTAAGGCAAAAAGTAAATCACAATGATTCTAAATCTAGAAGATATAAATGCCTGGGTTGCACTTATTATCCAATATCAGAACACTGAAAACATGGCATAAATACAACTGAATCACTGAATTAGCAAGTTTTCAGAACATACCCAATAGAGCTCATTTGAGATGAATGCCAATTCAGAAAGCCATGCTCGCACTGTCTAATACCTCTGCAAGAAGTTGGATGGAGGAGTTTGTTCTAATCCTCTAATTCTGGTTCAACACTGAAACCTTTCACACACTTATCACCTTCCCCCCATCCAGTGCCTGTTATACAGCTGCTCGTAAAGCGAGCCCAGTTTTTCCCGACAGAAAACTCAACTTACCACAAAATTAAAAACAATAAAAACCTCTAGCCCGCTCTAGATCTAACAAAACTAAAAGCTGTCCTGCAGTAAGAAGAGAAGTTTTCTACAGTTTCAACTTGAGAATTAAAACCACAAGCAACGACAAAGGAAGGCCTCCAGCAAGAAGTTCTTATCCTTTTGCGATGAGATAAAGACTGTTTTTACATACACATAGCTTTCAGATTTGCCCTAACTCTACCTTTTTTAAACAGCGAGTTCCTGCCTCAAAGAAGAAAAATCTTAACTAACAATGCTAGTAACAGGAGGCACCAAAAATTAATTCCATTATCTTGGGAATATTAAGTCTATCTCACATGGAAACAACTGTGGCTATGTTAACTGCTCTGCTTTTCAGATGAATTCTGCAAATACTGCTGCTTTATGAAAGGAAGACAATTGTACACAGTAGTTATAAGTCTTTATCCTTCTATAAAATCATGCAACATTATCAGATTTAATAATTTGTGGAAGTTTGTCCTGGTAAGCACTTTCTAAAAGCAACTGTTAATGTAATAATAACTGAGGACAATCCTGGTCACTGAGGAGTGATACCAGATTACAAAAAATTTACCACTCACAGAAGCATCCTTGACTAAAGTTGAAATAATCTATAAAAAAACCACCCCAAAACCTTTGATGCTTTCAATAACGTAATGAAAAAGGTACCCATGACATTTTGGGTACATCGGGTACCCATGACGTATTTCTTAAGGGAGAAATTTGTTAAGCATATAGCAAAACATGGGAAAAATGCACATACAGATGGTGAAGCAAGTAGCAAAATATCTGCCTCTTTAAAAAAGATTTGTTTCATTAATGAAATCAAATCAGAAGACTGTTGATCTACTTGTTTACTTAAATTATTTCACACCTCTTATGTGTGAAAGAAACTTTACCATCTATACTGCATTCACACATTGTGT